GTCCCATATAAGACCATAACTCAAGAAAAAATATGGCACCTAAAATCGGACGAATGACATTATGAAAGCTCTTTCACAAATCCCAGCACGATCGACTCACTCTGAAAGATGAACAAATAAGTTTTTAACGTCTGTTACGGAAGGCAACTTGCTAGAAGTGAATAGAATATAATAGGCGAATGACGACATTAAGAAATTGAAGGGAGAAGATTGAATAGATCCAGCACATATTGCAGACTGGATTCGGAAACTAGGACTTCTATTGATACTACTAGTCGGGCACTACGATACTAATTAATACCTAATGCGCACTAAGTTACTAAAGTCACAGAATAAATAATAGTATTACTAAAGTCCTTTACTCTGTGGTTACAATCCGCATTAAATTTTTGTAGGCATAGATGCTGTAGGAATTTTTTTATAATATAAACATTTTTAGATTTGTAAAACTTCCTGAGTGGCCTACGAATGTATTAATACATAGCGTATTAACAAGGAGTAACTATAAACAAGAATTACTCGCTTATGATTGTTATGTATGTTTGACAAAATAAAATTATTTTGTCAAACAAATATAGCGGGTAAATTATCTGAAGAGCGCAATAATCGTAAATTAATTTTATGTATTTTGAAATTACACTATTAAAATAATTTTATTAGATTTTTATTGAGCGAAAACTTACCACAATTTTTTTTTCAACTTTCGTAATAAAACCAAACTTCAAACGATGTTGCAATGGACTTTATGTAAGTTTATTAAACTGGGCTAATTATTAATTAAAAAGTAAGATTAACAGTTATCTCGTTAGATTATTTAAAATTTATTATAGGTATGTACAAAGTTTATTATGTAACGACAGTGAAATGTCGTGTAGTGCAAGCGGCAAACTTATGTAAATTATCTTTCTTGAAGTAAATTATAAATGACGCGTTGCTTCATCTGTTTACAAGTTGTTTGAAACTTAATTATGCTTTATTTAAGATAAGAATCGTAAACTCTTAAACGACGTTTTAAACTAATTACAGATATAATAAACTTGTTGGACCTTGTTTTGGGGGTATAAATAATAATATCCACTACCCCATATCATGCCGTGAGTGTTGTCAGAGGCGACAGAGGGAAACAAATAAGGAGATGGGCGGCAGCGTCTTCCTAATGACGACTGGAAATTAAATAGTGCGGTTGCCAACTGGCTTGCCAAGCGTGGCAACTATGACAAATACCCCCTCTATGAGGCAATCCATGGGGGATACCTATTTTCAGCAGTGGACTTTAAGGGGAAATATAACCTCAATTGGCTTAGCAAGATCCTTCGTTATGCCGAAAGTATTGCAGCATTGATTTTGAAATAAATATAATGGTAAAGTTGAAGATTAATATTAAGGACTATGTTAGACGAAAACACGATTCCGTAAAATTTTCTCTATAGAAAAAAAAATCCAAAGTTACCTTCAAACTAAACAATAAACCGCTGTTATTCATAAAATACTTTAAATAAGATCATGAAACTTTGCATACTAACTGAACTAACTATAAAGCAGTGTTTATGTTATTTACTTTTTTTTAAATATCATTATATTCACTGTAAAAACAAATTACCTAAACTATCGGCGTCTTGAAGCTTGACTTTCTTCGGTTTTTGAAGGGGGGAAGTTGTGTCGCTTACGATCAGAATACACATTACACAACAGGACGATGTAAAGTTAAAATGGGAAATAACCGTAATAAAAATAAGAAGCGACTGGGTTGGCGTTAAGAAACAGGCTTAAGTATGATAAACCTAATGAAATAAGTATCTAACGACCTATCTACTTACAGTATTAGTGATTACAAATATGTCGGTACATAGCATACGACGCGTGGGGAAGTGGGGGCGAAATTAGAATTTGAGCTGACTTACTATATCCCCTTAAAGGTTACAGATGTATTGTCATCTCGGAGTACTATGATTGAACGTAATTATACTGACTCTCAACACCCTTAAAACCGGAACATGGCAGTACAATTTGGAGGCAGAATAGAAAGAGAATGATACCTACTCAGACGGACTAGTCATCAGTAGGCAGAAAACAAAGGACACAGAAGTCCTACCACATAGAATTTGGAATAAAATTAATACATACATTTATACGTGGTAGAGACACACTGCAGCTATATTAATGCTGTACTGTAACTGCCTCGTTAGTTTAGTGGTTGTAGTAGTACGACTGCTGATCATGAGGTCCTGGGTTCGAATCCCGGGTCGGGCCAAAAATCAATTATTGAGTTTTTCTATCAAGAAATTCTCAGTAGCTGCCCGGAGTCAGGAAGTTAGCGGTGTATCGGACGGCATAACGGAGGAACTTGCCAATGGTTTAACCACCATATAGCCATGTAGCGCATAGCGCCATATTATAGCGCGCTATCTTTTCATAGCGCATAGCGCGTGCTATGTAAGTAGTCTCTACGGCGCTATGGTGCTATGGCGCTATTAAGTATTAATAAATTAATATCTAGCGGCAATTAATTCTGGCAGCAGCGCTGTTGGGAGTGGACGTGTGATGCAAATTTGATCTAGTAGCACGTTATTTATCGCGCGCAATCTAATTGTTTGCGAAGTTTAGTTAGACTTTGTTTAGTTAGTGTATTCAATATATTTATAAGTGATCAAAGGACACAGTTCTCTGCTACAAAAGAAGCCTTACTAATGTAAATAAAATATAGATACAAAAGTGTATATAACAGTGTATGTAAATAGTTGATTTTTTTATAAACAATCAATAATCTTTTAAATACACCTTTAATTGATTTATAAGTTATATTAAGGTTACAATAAAATTTACATCGATTATAATAAAAATAATTTATTTTATTTTGTTTTAAAAGGCACATGTCTTAAAAATATTTTTAGGATTATAGAAAGTCGTAAGCCTGAAAAGTATGAAAGAGCTTTCGTTAGTTTTTCTTTACCGCTTTATTTTATTTTAGTCTAAAATGCGACTTATTGCGAAATGATGGTCTTATATAACCCGCGGTCTATCCAACGAACGGCATGTAATGTAACGTGCTACGAGATATAGCGTGCCTCCTACACGCTTTCTTATAAATAGTGCACTATAAGAAAGCGTATTTAATAGCGCGCTAGAAATTTATAGTTTATAGTCTGTAGCGTGCTATTGATTTATAGTCCTTTTGAACAACTTTAGTCATCTTGCTAAGCCATTTGAGGTTATATTTCCCCTTAAGCGACAGTAGTCTAATGGCAGGGCGCGGACCGCGAACTCAAAAAGGACGTGGGTTCGAATCCACCATTCGACTACTGGCGTGAACCACTCATAACACAAGCAATTTAAGCTTAGTTATGAGTAGTACGAGTTAGTACGAGTGGTTAAGGGGAATATTAGTAATGTTTATAGCATTGTTAATATTCTTTAAAAAAACCTTCCTTGTTTAAACTTATCTACAGGTGTCCATAGTCTACAATAGCCACTTACCAGGTGGTCACTAAGTTCATTTGTCATTGTAATATACCGCCTCGTTGGTCTAGTGGTTGTAGTAGTGCGGCTGCTGATCTTGAGGTCCCGGGTTCGAATCCCAGGTCGGGGCAATTTAAATCAGTTGTTGACCTTTTGAAGAAATTCACAGTAGCTGCCCGGAGTAAGGAAGTTGGCTGTGTCCCACCCCCGTACCTCGAAAAGCAAAAACCGTTGGTCTTGTACCTAATCTCTCTCCGGTCGTGTCCGTTTACCGTCTCATCAGACTATGAGAGTGAGGGAATAGAGAGTGCACCTGTGCTTGCGCATACACCTGAGCAATATAATCCTGTCCTGCGCTGATGACTAGTCTCTGTTGAGGCTGACCGCCGTTACTTAAATTCGGTCTGGAGGACATTATTAGATACTATTATTAATATACAAACAAAGTATTTCATTTAGTAAAAGCTGTTTTCTTCAGATTTCGCCATATTATATTTAAAAAGACGATGGGATAAATCTCAAGTCCCTTTGAGGCTTAATATTTAAAAAAAATACTTAATTGTACAGTATAAGGTCTGTTACCTTAATAAGGAATTAAAATCTTATAATTTTAATGTATAGTTTCATAATTATATGTTCCCTAGTGGCATCCTCGTATCGGAAATTGAAGTGTAGTGTGCCCCCACCCCCAAGATGAGAGTGACGACCTTGTAAGACATGCAAGAAGTCGATGGATGTATGACGCTCAAAACCGTGCTTTTTAGCATTCCTTGGGGGAGGCCTATGTTCAGCAGTGGACTTATGAAGGGCTGTTGATGAATGATGATGATGATGTCTTATAATTAATTAGCCGTTGATATCAGTCTCGTAAGAGATGACAATGCGAAACTAACTAATCTTGACAACATAATTGATCTTCGGATAAATGGCGATACAAATTCCAGACGAGATGGTAGTCGTATACCACAGACAGACGTAAAATATCTAGACCGACGAAAACAGAAAATATGTAAGAAGTCTTTTATTTACGGTGATCATCAATTTTCTTGCCAAGCTTTTTCTTTTTTTATATCGTGGTTGAGTATTATAAAAAAAAAGGTTATAATTTTTTTTTGCTCGCGATTAGGGCAAATCAAATTCAATTTGAGAAGCCAATGTGTAATAATAAACTCTGGCGGGTCGATAAAGAAAAAAATTATAACCTCTTTTTTATAATACTCAACCACGATATAAAAAAAAAACAAAAAACCTTTTTAGATGATATAAAAACTACACAAAGTATCGTTATAAGTTTATAACTTAAAATTGATACGTATATACGAAAGAATATACTTTTTAACATTTGTTTGATTTTATCAAAAACTAGTAAAATTACGCTGGCGTGATACTTTCGGACAGACAAATCAACCGAACTATAAAAATGCGAGATAAGTTTGAAAAGCGCTTTCATCATTGTTGATAGTCGCTGATCGATTCCATTTCTATCGTTCCTATAAATTAACTTACCGTTTCTGTTCCCTTTCACCCACTGTCAATAATTCAAGATGACACAACGTCTTCTAGACATCACGGTAGCCATTTATTGTTGTCATTAATTTATATTATTTATTTCATTAATTAAACACAGTACTTTTCATTTAATTCACATTGTTTTACAAGAAGTGTCAAAGCCTTTGTGGAAATTTAGGAAAAGTGACGTACCAGTTTTACTTTTAGTGTCAGTGACTGATTGTCTTTGACGTCGTGATTCATTTTTTATATCATTTTCTTATGCCAGTACTTAATTTTTAACATTTTATTTCAACGATAAAATCCTTATTAGATTTTAATAAAATATTGTCACATGTATTGGGAAATCAAGTATACAACAATTAAAACTATAAAGGCATCATAAGTATTCGCCGTAAATTTCTTAGTATGCGAGTAACCCGGTTTCGATAATCTCCAATACCCGGTACAAATGAAAATGTTAATTGCAATTTTGAGTGCTGATTTAACACGTGCATAGTGTGCTACGAAAATTTATCGAAATATAAATTCTCTGACGCTTATGTGTTCCTACAGAGATATTGGAGCTTTGAATTACATCTTATAAGATAGATAATAAACGTCATCCCTATTATAATTTATAGTTTATAAATCCATAATCATAAAATTCCATCATGAGATGTGAAAGTGTTTCTTGTTATACCTAGCATCCTTTTATAATAATAGAAAAATGAAAAATATTACGTGCTAAAATTTGAATTTGGAACAATTATTAATATTTAAAGCACGTGGATACTTTTTTTATTTTATATTTTATTTTTAATATTCTTTATTGCACACCATATTAAAAAATTAATAATTATATATACAAAAGAAGTATGCAATGGGCGGTCTTATTGCTGATAGCAATTTCTTCCAGACAACCAGTACTTTGTTTCTCAACTATGCAAATTAAAAAATAAATGGTTGTATTAATTTTAGGCTATTTACATTAATTGTATTCCTAAATTCATTTGATGTCATAGTAGATCGATAGTGGGGGATAATCTTATTTATTTTTTCCTATAGTTGATAGAAGGAGAGAATGGAGCATATACAAAAAATATTACTTAAGTACATCCGAATTAATTAAAAATTTTATGGCTTGTCTTCACATTACGGCTTTTTGGATGTTGGTACATTTTGTAAAACCCTTCTCAAAATAACCTTGACGTATATGTATGGGTGTATGTGTGAGTTTTTTATACAAGATATACGAAAATGCCTACACTCGTTATAAATTCATGTATTCAAAAAGTATATTATAGGTATATAGTAGTGTATATAATTGTAAAATTTGATTTACCGTTAAAAAATTTAATCATTATTTTCTTTTTAGAAATGGCTCTGGTGGGTTCTGATTATACACTCAGCATATAATCCAGTAAGATGTGTCTCAGTCTCAGTTAAAAGTCGGATAAATCCAGCTACAGTAGGAGAGCAAGCTAAATTCTTTCAGTAAGTATTATTAGATTGTTAGAGTTAACCTGGCAGCACTAAAGTGTTCAGAACAGATACTAATATTTCAGCAATATCATAAATATTTCTAATACAATAGTAGCCCTTTTTTCTGACATTTATACAAAAAATAAAGTTTAATATTATAGGTTAAAGTAACATCAGATCAATGTTTTTTTTTTCTATTTAGCTTCCGTTTCCAATTGTCTCTATAATCCTGTCTGTTTGACTTTCTTGGTAAAGGCCTCCTCCAATTGTTTCCATAACTCTCTATTTCCAGCTGTTCTGGTCCATATCTTGCCAGCTACTGCTTTGATGTCATCAACCCATCTCCTGATTGGTCTACCTTTTTTCTTTTCATTTCTTGAATCTTGTGTACCAATAAATTATTATTTTACTCCACTTGCCTGTTCCCCTAACCTAACTTTCCATTACTATTTTTATAATTTATATTATTTCTAACATTATATTAAATGTTTGGCTATTATCCACCTAATGTCAGGTACTAACTTAGCTGAATAAAAGTCAATTTACTAGAAATCATCCACATTAATTGGATTATTAAGTAATGGAATTCCTCGCACACTCTTAGAAATGTAGAACACCTGTAGAACACCGAAAAGCTGGCTATTTATGTGTCTATTCTCAAGACTGATTGGATTGTTTTTACCAGATTGAAGTCACCAATAAGCATCTTAGCACACCTTAGCGTAATTGTTGGTTTTCGGGTCCAACCAAGTGCGGCTTTGTGTTCAGGCTTATTCTAACTTATGATCTTATCACGTAGCTGGAACGATAACATAGGAACTAAAACAAAATTAAATTTGAAAAATAAAAATAGTATTAACTCATATGGATGAATACATAAGATAGAAAGAGATAGAGATACAAAAGAAAAAGAGGGAGACATTTATTTGACACAAGCCTACAAAGTACCGCAATAAAGTCATTGTTTCTTTATTGCATTATTTAAAATTGTGTTGCCTTGAAAAATTACCTAAAGAAAATTAATTGTTCAGCGTAAATTACAACATTTTTATTTACGATTACTATTAAAAATCTATCAATTTCTAAAGCATTTAAACTATTCAATGTTAAAGCATTGATTATGTGTTTAAATTTGATTCTTTTTCTTTTTCCTTCATAATCGCTGATATTTATAAACATTTGTAAAGTTATGAAAATTTATCCTAATAGGAAGTTACTAACACAATAACTCAATTATCATTCAAATGTAATTATTCTCATCTGTAGAACTGTCTGTTATGTTATACATGTCATAATTCATAATCTATATATTATTTAAATTTATACATTTTAGTTACTTGTTTTTTTAGAGAAATTTGTTTTTACTTAAAACTACTAGTAGTAAAGTACTAACTAGTATTGAATAAATTGTAAGTCTGTAGAATTCTACCGTATATTATATATCGAATTATTTTTAAATAATAATGAATCCATCAAAGTATTTTCTCACCTTATAGCCTTGCATACCTGTTTACCCTTATATAGTACTGGTGCTAATACAACATTTTATCAAATATAATTTAATTATTATTAATCAACGCCATTTTCCCTCATAAATAAACACATAGACAACGTCAAAAAGCGCTTAAAAATTTTAAGTAATCATTAGCTGTAGCTAAAAATTGGCTAGATATTTTTTTTTCCTTTTGTATTCTTATTAGAAACATTTTGCTGGTTGATTTTATTGTTACTCTTATAGGAAACATGGAGAATGATTTCAAATGATTTACTTTATAGGGACTTTTTCTCAGTACAGTTGAGTCCATACAAGATCGAATTCGGTCATGTTTGCGAGGACCCAAACACGTGGGAGCAGCGGTACGAGAGGAAAGACTATAAGAATCACAGGGACATGGGAAAAGTAACGATTTTATGTTTTGCTTTGTGTCTAACTTGTATTATGTTTCTTTCTCTGTCGCGCTTCGCTTGGCTTGACTGAAGATATAGGCATTTGCCATCTCATGAGGACTACGATCAAGGTCATCGTTTGGGCAGTGCACGACACTTCACTGAGAGACACGAGCGTTCCCGGCCATCTACAGGACTTTTCTCTGCTAAAGTATGCTTCTGCTTGTTTCTTCTTTTTTCTGTCTACAGAACGACTATTTACTACATTTTCTCGGATTAACAAGACTTACATTAAACACGTACTCTTCTAACTATCGCACATAACTCTTTAAGCTTTAAGTTATTATCTTTTAACATTTAATTAAGATTTTCCAATTTAAATGAATTTTAGTTTCATTAAAACGCAATAAAATATTTTCAAATATCAGTCTATTTATTTACTAATTATGTCGCCTTCATCATACATAATGTTTTTTCTGTTAAAAGGTTCGCTGGGGTGACAAAAAAGGAGGATATGGAGAACATTATTGGGACTTAAACCATGCAGGACATACAGGGAATCACGGTGACGATGGTTATGATAATTCTGGTGATGGGGCTTATCATGAGGAAGAAGATAATGATTCATATGACGAACCCAGCGATCACTCGCCAAATTATCAAACAAATAATTACAACCCAGAAGCAGCAATGTATGAAGAAAATGGTAGAACAAAAAGAGCACATACAAGACCAAAGGCGCAGAGAAAAGAAATAGAAGAACAGACTCGAAGACCTCAAAAACAAACAAAAAAGAGTGAACATTTACAATTACCTGATTCAGATTCTGCCGATAAACATGAAACAGAAGATAGGGACCACAAACAGGCTTATGAAAAATATAGTAATCAAAACGTTCCACTACCATCCAAACAGGAACAATATAGTCAAAAAGAATTTGACCAACCGAGAGAGAAGAATCAAATGGTTTTAGTAGTAGGCCATAAAGAGCGAGAAACGCAAGATAAAGACAGTCATCTCGCATCTCGCCAATTAGAAACAAGCCATTACGTTCCTTATGAGGATGGTTCTGGAATAAGGCAACATTATCATCCGGAATTGGCTGCAGCTAATACCGCTCCTCGGCTCTTTTTAGAAACTTCTACAGGACATGTAGTTGACAGGACTACCGGCCAAGCATATGTTCTGCAGCCAATACTCCGAAACCATAATTATAGTTAATTTTTTTTTATTGTGATATATTTAAATACACCGATTTAATTTTGTTTTACCTTTAGCGTTATTTATTAATTATTGTATTGCTTTGATGTTAATAAAATTTTCATTAAACATTCACTTTCATTTTTGCATATGCACATTCATAGGCACACAATATTCTACAGAGGTATATTTAAAAAAAACTAATTTAAAGGAACAAAATAATACAATATCTTGAACGTACGCAATGCTCAAATAGTAAAAATTTTCTAGAAACAACAAATCGCATAACGAAGAAGTATTATAATATTTTTTATAAGATTTTAGTGACGAGCAAATTTACATTCGCAAGCGTTCAGCAAGTTGGTTGGACCCTGGTCCAGCACCTAAACGAAAACTTACCTACCCCTTGAAAAATGATGGTCAATCTTTGGTGATCTAGCACTGGTGTGATTCATCACAGCTTCTTACCAAACGGCATAAGTATTACTGCAAATGTGTATTGTGAAGAACTGAACACAGTTACAACAGGTGTGGTTGGAAGATCTTCGTCATTCGCCTTACATCAACAGTTGTGTTGTCAACTCTGAGGACTAAGATGGAATGCCTCGCATCCTGAATTATGCTAGTTCTCTATGCCGTTCAGACCGGAACATACCACGTATCACGTATTACTGCTTGGTGGTAGAAACTGACAAGTACGAGTGGCTAGTGTAACTGACAAACGCTTAGTGCGTGTAAACAGGTAGTGACAAGTGTTTAAGTAATAGTTTAAGGAGTGGATTTTATTGTCCAAAAATTATTCGGTTACACAATAACGCCTACGCCTTTATTACATATATATATATATATATATATATATATATATATATATATATATATATATATATATATATATATATATATATATATATATAATATATAAAATCCAAAGTGCCATTGTTATTTTTAAAGAGTGACTAACTAGGAAAAGCTAGTTAGGGAGATATATTATTACCGTTTGTACGATTAAATAAATATAGAAATATAACTGGTCAACTTCTTTTTAGTTTGCCACCCCTGATCGAACCTGTATGTCCCTCTTACCCCGAATTGATTTTTTCTTCTTTTTCATTTCAAACGATACCTTATTTCATCGATTGTAAAATCTAATTATGACCGAAGCAGTTCTATCTACAAATTAACGAACATTTAGCAAAGAATATTTTAATTCAAAGTCCAATCTTAAGAAATACAATGACTGTCCCTCTTACCCCATGTGAGGGGGGAAGAGGAACGTTTACTTAATCTTGACATTTACCTCAATATCGTAGTAAAAACAGATACTAGCGTAATTACATTTTGCACATGTGAAGCTAATATATAAAGGCAAGGTTTGTTTGGTTCAAAGATCTTAAAAGACTTTAGCTGTTCTTCCTAGCAGTCAAAATATTTTACTGAAAATAAAGTATGTCCCTCTTACCCCACCTGACCTTATTAATTTTAAAATATAAATAAAAAAATATATGGCAGTTTCTACTGGTGAAAGTAGACGGTTTTCCCATCATCAAAGCGACATTGAATCAAAAGAACGAAGACAAATAACGGAAACTTATCTCTACAAGAATTGTTTGTGCTATCTAAAAGTTACATTCCATTATTATATGCGGGCCGTGGCCCTTTTGCTACCGCCTTGTATGAGTCACGACCACGACCCTAATATCTTTTGTTTGAAACGAATCAGTTGAATTGAAAACAAATGTTACATGATTTAAATTAACGGACGTAGGTAGAATATTTAATCGCGTGATTTGAAATATTATTACTTTCTCCAAGTACATAATTCTTACTCCAAATATCTATAATATACTAGCTGGCCAGGCAGACTTTGTTCCGCTCTTTGCCTTTATTTTTTTTTAATTCGCAATAAAAACATTGAGGGATTCGAGGGTCACTTCTAAGCATAAAAACTTTCCCATCTCACAATTGAACCAAATTGCACACAGTTTTAAACGTGGTAGAGCCACGCTGCAGCTATATTACGATTGTATCATGAATGGGTTGACTTGACCGGTGTAGGACCACGCTCTTACAGAATACCAGCGTAAAATAGCAGCTTAATGCTGCTGTGTTTTGTGTGGTGAGTGAAGAGAACTGGAGACCCTTTTTACTGGAAACTTTATACGAGGCATTCCATTTTAGTCCTCAATGGCGACAACGCATCTGCATTTTGATTCTTAATCGAGGAAAAATGTAGATATCTATGGGCCACAGTCTCCACCATCTGGAGGACTGTGTACTCGTTTGTTGCCCTTATTCTATAAAAAGTGTGCAGTTTTCATTGAAATCAGTTCAGTAGTTTTGCAGTTCATCACGGACAAACAATGTGACAGACCTATAAAACATCCTTTGATTATATAGACAGGTATATAATCAAAGAAAACATCTTTGGTGACAGGTAATTTTTATACATAAGGATTTAACAGTTGTTGGTACTCTGTGCGAGTGTGGTCCTATCCAGATAGACCCAATAACCCATTTCGGAGTGTAAGCTAAGCGCCTTTTTTACATTAGGAAATGCATATGCATACCAGCCTCGCGGGGACAAAAGAGGTATATGTCGGACTCACGCCAACTAAAACCCTATGGTGTTCCATCTTCACCGCATATCTGCCCTATATAGCCTGTCCTCAGGAGAGGACAATTCTTTCCCCTCTCTCTTTCTTTTAGGCGCATCAGAACACATGGCGTGCCTTTCTCCGCAGCCACCAACTTTAACAGCACATGGACCCTCCCGAGTCCGATACATGGAGATCACAGTCCAGGAAAAACTAGCACTTGGAACAGCTAGCACCAGCCTTTCTGACCTCAGCGGTGGGTTTGGTCTATAGCTTCGCAGAACCAAATTTCGCTCGCAACATGACGTGCCTCTCCCCCCGCGTCCCCACCACCGCGTCGACGGTGCGCCCCTCCTGAACCACGGTGGATAGGACTAGTGGCGCATTGTCTTATCAATACGAAGACACCCCTCTCTCCGCAGTCCACCAATACACATAAGAGGGTTCGCTAAGCCCTCTCAGAACGGCTACAGCCAAGGGCCGGTCCTTCACCTTGGACCAGCCATGTGGTCCTCTTAGTTCCTTTTTAAAAACGTAACCTCCACACTGGGATTTTCTCCTGTGTTGTGGGGGCAGTTTACATAAATTTCACAAGGACGTACATCCAGACCAGGAACAATTATTTGTAGGACATACAGATACTTGTTCCGTATTTCTTCACTGATAATCAATATGTAAATGCATTGTCACCTCTGAAGACTAAGATGGAATGTCCCACATCCAGTAAAAAGGGTCTGCGGTTCTCTACACTTACGATCTTACTGCTATTTTACACTGGTATTCTGTGAGAGCGTGGTCCTTCCCCGGTCGAGCCGACCCATTCGTACCAAAACCATAATATATCTGCAGCATGTCTCCACCACGTTCGATTTTGAAAATAGTATTCGACTAAATGTTTTCTTTATTTTAAAACGTGAATTTGCAAAATTAACTATAGGTAAAAGAATTGATGGGTTACATATAGTAAATAATCCCTGCTAAATAACCGTTAGCACGTATCATCCATACGGTCAAAAGATTCGCATAAACTCCTTCTGATTGTCTAAACAAACTAGTTTGTCCAGTTTGTGTTCGTGAGAAATATGTCCACTGCACGTCCCCCGTCGTAAGTATCCACCTTTGGGCGACGCTTCTCATTGTTAGATCCGTCGATTGATAAAGGTGTCCCTTTTACACTTGCTCCTTTGAATACCATGCTTTACCATTATTGTACCTGTGACACACGGCCACTATGTTTGTCGAGCTAAGTATTTTTATTTTTTGTATGTTTGATAAATATAAATCTATTTTAAAACATCAGATGTAATGAAGGTGGTGTGTAATTGTTACATTTGTTCATTTTTATAGTGTTAAATCTTTTTTTATTATTATTTATATATAAAAAATGTCACCTCCACACTATTATTTTCTCCATTATCGTAGAGGCATTTTACATACATAAATTACACAAGGACAAACATTCAGACCCGAAAATACGTAGGTCATACATATACTTGTTCCGTGCGGGACTCAAACCCTCGACTCTCAGCACCGTCAATCATTGCGTCCGGATATGTTGAGTTATTTCAGATTTTCATCTCATATATTATTTCTGCATAAAAAAATCAATTGCTCCGTTAGTCTCAGTAAAACTTGAAAATGGCTCGAGCAATTTTGATAACATATTTTGTGTGTTTGTGAACCCTGGATGGTTTAGATTGGACCCCGGTAGTTGGCACTGTAGTCAAGATCCAGAAATCACTCAAGCGAATCCGGGACAGATAGCTAGTAAATAATATTTTAAAGAAAGTAGAAACTGATTTCTTACCATTTTAACAAAAATCTAATGTTATATTAGACTAATGTAATTTATAGTCATTATATTACTAAATCAGAAAAATAATACATCACTGACATGAGTGTAGTAATTACAGAGACTGAACATGAAGACCGTGTGTAACACTGACAAGACATGCAAATAAAGGGTCACTTGAAGACTGCCCTTTCTCACACAACGAAGTGGTCAAACTGGTTTTTGGACGAACCCTTAACCCCTTTTTTAAACAATAGAAATAAAATTTGCAATCTTTGTGTTGCGGACTACATTGTCCAAAACTTGTTTGACCACTTTGCGGCCATGAGAATATTTTTCATGTCATTTACGCTTCGATTGTGTATTCAGATGTTTAAATGCAAAATAAATCTGACAGAAATAATTAATTAGATTGTAAATTTAAAAAAAATATGATAGTTCTGAAACATCCGACGCTGCTACGTAATTGAGTTCTTGCCTTCAAACTACTAATTGTGTTTGTTCTTAAGTAGCTATTGAGAAACTTGTTTAAAAAAGTAAAAAGTTTCATGCTAAATTTTAAATTTAGGTCACTTCTTAGATCATTAAAAAGTTTTATTACACAATAACGGCATTCGGATTCCTAGATTAAGTAT